GTCCGGGGGGTCGCGGGGCCGCGGCTGGGCGGGGTGGGCCGGCTCGGGGCCTCCTCCGCCTGCCGCCGCCTCGCTCGCTCGGCGCGGGGTCCCCAGGGGTGGCCAGAGACCCGCAGCGGGGCCCCGGGTGGGCCGGTGCAGGGCCTACCTAACCTGCTTTTAATACTTTTGAGGGATGTTTTGATTTCCTGTATTACAGCCTTCATATCTAACAATACCATTTGATTTTTTTTTTTTTTTTATGATGTTCAGTTCTTCTTTCATATCATGGAAGGACTTCCTCATCTCTTGGAGTTCAATGTATCTTTTCTCTTGCATCTCATAGAATTTCTTACCATGAATGTTCTAAATTCTTTTTCTAACATTTCGGTAATATCCTCTAGTGTTTCCCTACTTGGAGACAAATTAGAGTGGCCCCTTGTGGGTGATGTATTACTTGATTCTCTCATCCTTGAAGCTTTTTTCCAAATTTTTAGTCATTGTTAATGTATTCGCTTTTTGCTAATTTGTTGGAGAAGGATTCTGTAAGTGTGAGCTCATGTGTTTCCCTAACTGTGAAATAATTTGGTGCTATTTTCTCCCTCCTACTCTGTCCTCCAGTGTGGAGATCACAGGAGGAGTGTTGAAATCGGATTTATGAAGGAGAGTTTCCCTCTTTTTACAACCAGTACAGTGAGTTGCAAAAAATTCTCTAAAACTCCCAATATTCAGATGCTTAGTTACTATGTACCTAGTCTTCTCTAGGCCATGAGTAAGGGTTTAATAGGAAAGTAAGAAAAAAGAAAAAGAAAGTATAAACAGCAATAGGAAGAAAAAGCTAAGAACTAGGAAGAAAAAGAAAGCAGAGATGGGAATAAAAAGTGAAGAAATAGGAAGAAAAAAAAAAAAGGACGACCATGAAAGGAGAAATAAATATGTCACAGAAAATAAAAAAGGATTAAAAAATTAAAACCACGTGGCATGCAAGTAAAGGTACAGGACAGCAGAGATGGACCTGCCTGGATGGTTTCTGACCTGGGTGAGAGGAGGAGAGAGAAATTAGCAACTTGAAAGCACAAGGAAGGGGACAGAACAGCTCTGTGTATGTTTTTTGCTTTTTGGTTTTTTATTTATTTTTTTCTCTTAAAAAACAGAAAGAAGAAAGTTGGAAGGGACAGAAAAGAGACAGCTGTGAAGCTGGACCCAGAAGGTACAGGGCAACAGAGATGGACCTTCTAGATGGATTCTGACCTGGCTAGCACTGGGCTCAGTGTCTGAAGTAGGTGGCCTAGCTGGGGGAGCTTCATAGCTGTGAAGCTGGACCCAGAAGGTACAGGGCAACAGAGATGGACCTTCTAGATGGATTCTGACCTGGCTAGCACTGGGCTCAGTGTCTGAAGTAGGTGGCCTAGCTGGGGGAGCTTCATAGCTGTGAAGCTGGACCCAGAAGGTACAGGGCAACAGAGATGGACCTTCTAGATGGATTCTGACCTGGCTAGCACTGGGCTCAGTGTCTGAAGTAGGTGGCCTAGCTGGGGGAGCTTCATAGCTGTGAAGCTGGACACAGAGGTACAGGACAGCAGCAATGGACCTTCCTAGATGGATTCTGACCTGAGTCCAAATGATCTACTTCCACTGCCCAGATGGAGAAAACCAGATGCAGCAGTGGAGACAATAACATTTTTACCTTATTACATTTTGTTTGTAATTTTCAATGTTCAATGCAATACTAAAAGGAATGTGCGGTAATTCTTTTTTCCTTTAAATCATAGTTTTAATTTTTTAAAGCTATGAGCACATGTGTGCTCACCAGAGAGAAACAGACAGAGGGAAAGTGAGAAAACACCCCTGGGAGGATGGTCACACTACAATCTCAGACTTCTGGGAGTCTGGGTGTGTGTGTACACATGCCCACATGTGCCTTACATGTTTTTCAAGCCCCTGGGTCCATGACTTAAACCATGCTGTTGACCATGTGAGATGCAGCCACCTTAACCCCCCTCATCACCAGTAGACCTTAATGGGCTTTTAATGATAATCTTTCCTTGCCCTTGGGAAAGAGACCTGTGTAGTAGTGTTATCACAAACTGATTTGTTGGCATCATCTTTCTACTATATAAAAAAAGGTTTTCTTTTTATTGCCAGAGATCTTGCCTGAGAACAAGGTCAAATCAGTAAGTTTGTTGCCTGCTAATCCTACCTGCCAGCCCTGTGCCTACTGTAACCCTAGGCTGATGTTTGCAGCAAGAAAATCTCCATAGTGATAGTAGCTCTTCCAGCTTCCTAGGCACATGTGGAGGCCCAGGAAGTGGCACAACTCATAAACTCTACATTGGAATTTTTTACAAGATGTCCTCAAGTATTGGTATTATCTGGAAATGAATACCTTTAGGTTTATCTAAAATTTTCTATTGTATCAAAAGAGAAGTCCCCTTATTACAATATTATCAAACAAAAATCTGGTTTGTTTCAAACATTTCTGCAGGACCATTAGAAGTGATTAGGAGACTCCAGAGTACTGATCTATGGTAAAGGTAAGAGGAATCGAGAAAAATGAGGTGAAGAATGCTGTAAGCCTTCAACAAGGAGATGAGGCAAAGAGGGTTGTCATGAACAGGGACTTCTAAAGCTGATGACATTGTCCTTGACCGTAGTGACCTTAGTGCTTCTACTTCAGCCTATGATTAAGAAAGTCCCAAGTTCTACTTCATGAATCTGAGGGCATCCTGGGGCCCCCTTGTTGGAGAATCAGATCATTTCCTTCTTCAAGGAAGAGTTCCAGCCCATATGGAATGGATTCCTATAGGGACCCTAACCAGCATGGTTTGCTTTTGCATCTTTATCTTGCTACCACATTGAACTAGCATGTACAGAATTTGCAGGGGTCCTGGGTTTTTTATTTCTTTTTCATTTTAATTTTTTTTGAGAGAGATTTTTGCTGTAGGGCATATGTGCTTGCCAGAGAGATTAAGAGAGACAGAGAGACAGAAAGAGAGAGACAGAAGGGAGACCACCCACAGGGGATAGCCACACTGCAATCCCTTCTCTTCCATTCTCCTCTTGGGATCTTGGGCACATATGCACATATGCCTGGCATGAGTTTTAAGCCACCAGGCCTAGGACTTGAACTGTGGGAGCCGAGCAATGTAACAATTACACCATCTGCTGGTCCCAGAGGGATCCTGTTTTACTGACTCCCCCCACAGTCTCCTCTCACATTTAATTTTTGTAACAGTGTTAAGTTTATTCCGACATGCTGCACGATTTCCCTTGTATGACGAGTCGTTGGACAACTCATTGCCTTTCTTAGGGCTCCTCTCACCTTCTGGTTCCTAATGGTGTAAATAAAGGGATTCAGGAGGGGAGTGAGGATAGTATTTAGCACCGACACCTTATTAATCTTAAAGGAGGAGCGTGCCGTGGGCCTCAGGTACATGAACGGAACAGCACCATAGAGCAGGGAGACGACAGTTAAGTGAGAGGCGCAGGTAGAGAAGGCCTTTTGGTGACCTGTGGCCGAAGGGATCCGCAGGATGGTGGACAAGATGTAGCCGTAAGAAATTGCAGTAAAGAGGAGTGACCCTGGGATCACAAGGACGGTTGCCAGGACACACCCAGGAGTTCCAAGATGCTGGCGTCTGCACAGGCTGCTTTCAGAATGGGACCGACGTCACAGTAGAAATGATCTCACGTTGTCACCACAGAAGGGCAGCTGGACGAGCAGCAGCATCTGGAAAAGGATGATGGCGAAGCCCGCCACCCAAGAGCCGAGGGCCAGCTGCAGGCAGAGGTTGCTGGTCATGATGGTGGGGTAGCAAAGGGGCTTGCAGATGGCGAGGGAGCGGTCGAAAGACATGACGGCGAGGATCAGGAACTCAGTGGTGCCCAGGAAGAAGTGGAAGAAGCTCTGTAGCAGGCAGCAGCGGGTGCAGGTAACTGTCCTTGTGACCATGAAGGTTTCCAGCAGTTTGGGGATGACCATGGGGGTGTATCAGATCTCTAAGAAGGAGAGGTTGCAAAGGAAGAAGTACATTGGGATTTGAAGCCTGGGCTCGGCCCAGATAATGGCAATGATGAGCCCATTGCCTGAAAGGGTTAATATGTAGATGAGAAAAATCAGGATGAAGAGAGGGGTCTGCAGTCCTTGGATCCCAGGGAAGCCTATGAGGATGAACTCTGTGATGGCTGTGCCATTTCTCATGTTCCTCGAGACCCTACAGAGACAAAGAAGTAACTCCTTAGAATAGTGGA